AAAAAAAAAAAATCTATCGGTTTTGTTTTTCTTTACTCGAAGAGATCAAATTATTGGTGGGGACAATTCAATAATCGCTGTATATTGGTGGGGACATGTCCCATGCCAAATCTACACCCTTGGAGCTTAACATGCCACTTAGAAAAGTAAAGACACCCCTTTTTTTTCTTTGGAATGTCATAATTTGTTTACTAGTTAATGGGTGCCATGACCACCTGCCCTTGGCTTTGGAATAAAGGTCACAAAAACATTCTAATGCGTTTTACTGCTTTGTAGCCTCTTATTACCTGTAGCATAGTTTAAAATTTTGGATATTACAATTGCCGTCTGTAGTTTCTCCTTCTCTGAAAGGATTTTCTCATGTACTAAGAGTATATAATGTTGCTGTTGTTGGAGATACATTGTTTGCTACTTAATGATCCACTGATGCATACTTTAAAGGAAACACTACTTTATACAAATACAAATACCCCACTACATTCCTGGGATGTCATTCCAGATGTCTGTCAGCTAATTACTTTGACATTACACACTAATTAAATGAAACAACTCTGAGATGGGTTTTAAATAAATAACACTACATAAAGAGGTTAAATGGACCAGTAATTACATTTTAAAAGAATACAAAGAAATCCTACTATACTAAATTTCTCATTTTCCACACTATGACTCTTTGAAAGAGATTGATTATTAGGTTGGTAACCAATTCATCAAACTATCCAAAAGTTAAATAATTCTGTTGATACTCTTTTAAATAAATATTGCTCATAAAGGCAATAAAGGCATAAATTCCTCCTTATTCTTTTAATTTAGAATACATCTTTGCATAGAATTATCAATGCATTCTGCTGGTAAAACCTGTGTAATTTTATTTCCATGTCACTGCAAATTCATTTTGAGTCTTTTATATAACACTGACCCTAGCATCAGATCTTCATTCACCCAAACCCTACATTATCAGCTCAGAATTACAAGTATAATGGAGGGAATGACAAATAAAATCAGAATGTCTGTAGTTTGAATAAAGTGATTTTGTGTACTAAATGATTCTTATCAGGTGAGCTCAGAGTACCTTAATGATACTGACATGATTTCACTACAGGAAGATTCTAGCAAGTGGCTATTTGACTTATCAACCTATGTGTGGTTGATTGGCTAGCTTGCTGACAGACTAGCTGGTAGGAGTGCCAATCAGGAGAGGTTTTATGACACTCACTATAGATCGAAGTCCACATGTAGGCCTTAAACAAGATCAGTCCACAGCCGCTGGTTGGGCCTGCTCACCTGCCACCTGCAGTGTCTGCGGTCTCCTGATCTCTGCTACAATGAAGTTCAAACTGGGCTGAGTCCATGTCCCACTTATCAAAATGGACCTACCAGGTTATCACCTACAGCAGCACCAGCCTCTTGTTCACCACCCTGGTAACTATCAAGAGGATTTGATCAATTTGGAGGGATCATCAACATGTGAGTACTAGATGAAAGTGGCTATGGGTCAATAGTGAACTGGTATGTAGGTGTCAATAGATATATTTTAAAAATGTTGTGTGAAACTACCTGTGTTAAAAAGTTCATACTTTGAAAGTTGAAGCAGGTTTTAACATTGTCTGTAAATGTATATTATGAAAAACAGTAGTCACTTTCATTTGAAAAAACACATTTAGAATAACAAAAAAACCCAAAAAGGTTTTAAAGTGGTTCCCAGAAGATTCCCTTCGGTCATAGAGGAGATAGAGAGAATAGTTCTGGATATTATGTAAGGGTCATATCTGTGATCATAGTCAAGCAAATCAATCCCAGTGATAAGGTACTGTCTACAGCAAAGCGATGGTCCTGCCCACTGTTCTTTCAGCAGCTGGGCAATAAACCCTGTTAGATGACACTTTTACACTTCAGCAGCACAGCATTCTAGTCTCTTTAGCCACTCAGGATTTACAAAATTCTAACTCATGTCTGATTGCTAATTATCCTCCTGTTTTAGATGACTTGAAATATTATACTTGGCACGGCACACATGATTCCTTGCAACCTTACCAAGTATACCAATTTCCAACATATTATATACATCACATATTTGATATGAAAAGTGTATTCAGTTTAAGCAGTAGCTTTGCATATCATTGAAACAAAACATTGTTTAAAAAAGAAGAAGAAGAAGAAGAAGAACACCCTCAAAGGGTGAAGTTTGTGTCATAATGTAAATCTTTTCATTAAATATTACTGGTCCTCAGCTCAGGAGCAAAAGACAGAGGCAGAGAGTAGACTGGACTCAGAGGACAACTGTCCTGTCTGTGGAGACAAAGTGTCAGGATACCACTATGGACTTCTTACCTGTGAGAGCTGCAAGGTAAAGGATAAGGTTTGGGCAGTGCAAAATATGCATTCTGTTATGCCACCAAAAGTCATCTTAGCTTTGTTAACTGCAAAACCAAAGTGACTTATGAGTCCACAATAAATAACACATTAATGGTTTTGCAGTAAACACCAGGTAGCTATAATCTGGTACTACAGATATATTAAGAGATACATACAGTATGTCCCGTAGTTCTACGACAATAATGATGCACATGTAGATATCTATGGTTTTGTGGTGTGCATAAAGGTTCCCTCTCTTTCATTTTCTTTGCAGGGCTTCTTTAAACGTTCAGTGCAAAACAACAAACATTACACCTGTGCAGAGCAACAGAGGTGCCCCATGAACCTTTCTCAGAGAAAACGTTGCCCATTCTGCCGCTTCCAGAAGTGTTTAGCTGTGGGTATGAAGAAAGAAGGTACACCAAATTGCCACCACTTCATTCACAGCTAATTTGTAGACCATTCAGTTGCAACAGGCTTTCTCTTTCACTGATACGCAAGGTTTTTTTTTGCCTCCCTTGAGACTTATCTAAGAACTCATAAAGCAGTGCTGACCCAGATTGTAAATTATGTAAATGATTGCAAGCTCTAAATGGAGTGAGATTGTAATTTTTTAAAGATGATCTTTTACATATTTTTGTTTATAATTAAATATTTGTTTGATGTTCTCTCATCAGCGGTCAGAGCAGATCGTATGAGAGGAGGCAGGAACAAATTTGGGCCCCTCTACCGCCGGGACAGACAAATGAAACAGCAAAAGGTGTATCACCAGTCAAACACTGATCCCTACAGGATTAAGGTAGAAACAGGACAAATACATGGTCCCCACGCTCTAAATGACCTCCAGGTGGTAACCAGCTGCATCAGTCATCCATTAACTTCTGAAGCTGTTAATCAACCCCACATGTATACTTCTTGCATGGGGCAGTCAAGTGAACCCATGTCTCTGGACTGCACTGTGAACACAAACAGAGGTCTTACTCCTCCATCCCTGCCTTACCCTGGACTGTACCACTGCACTTTCCCTGGACACCCTGAGGAGAAGTTGGAAGTGCCTTTTGGCTACAGCCCAGTTCCTGTAAACTATACAGTGGATTCAACCCCAAACAGCTCATTCACACCAAGAAGTACACTAGAATCATCGCCCTCTTCAACAAAAAGCTTAACCACTCCTGTATCCCAGGCTCCCACTCAAACACCAACCAACCCTCTATCATCAGCGCTTACACCTAACTTCTTAAGCCAACTGCTGGAAGGGGAACAGGATGAGAGCCAGCTGAATGCCAAAGTTCTGGCCAGTCTTCAGAGAGAACAGGCCAACCGAGGCAAGCACGACCGTCTGAATACATTCAGCATTATGTGCAAAATGGCTGACCAGACTCTGTTTTGCCTAGTGGAGTGGGCCAGAAACAGTTCCCTCTTTAAGGAGCTGATGGTGAGGAACCATTAACTCATGGGATACACATGAAATTAATAACACTTTTCTAGCGATACAATGATTAATTAGCTGTTAGAGTAGATCTATCCCATTTGTTCCTTAACATGCATGCGTCCTTAATTGAGGCCATCCAGTATAATCTTTAATTTGCAAATACACACAAAATCTTTCCAATAGGTGGAAGACCAAATGGTGCTGTTGCAGAGCTGTTGGAGTGAGCTGCTGGTACTAGATCACTTATGTAGACAAGTGACGTATGGCAAAGAAGGCTGCATATATCTGGTCACAGGACAACAGGTTTCTACTTTAAAATGCTGCATTCTTACATTTAGAAATGTTTCAAAGAAATGAAAGTAATAATGAGCACATTCTTTGTCTTATTCTGATGCAGATTGAGGTGTCAACCATCATTTCCCAGGCAGGAGTGACACTGAGTAGCCTGGTATCAAGGACCCAAGACCTAGTATCCAAACTTAAGGCACTCCACTTGGACAGACACGAGTTTGTCTGTCTCAAATACCTGGTGCTATTTAACCCCGGTGAGCAATTTTCCTCGAAGACACATATCCAATGTAGCTTTTGTTCAACGTTAATTAAGTTTGTGTTGTGTGGGTTTTTTCTGCTCTAGATGTGAAGTCAGTGCATAACCGCAGGCAGGTAGAGCAAACTCAAGAGCGAGTCAACAGGGCGCTGATGGAGTACACTCAGCAAAATCATCCAGGACATTGTGACAAGTTTGGCCAGTTGCTTCTTCGGCTGCCTGAAGTTCGCAGCATTAGCTTGCAAATTGAGGACTATTTGTACCAGCGCCATCTTCAAGGAGATTTGCCCTGTAACTCTCTACTTACAGAGATGCTGCACACCAAGCACAGCTGAGAAGATGATATCACTTGTGGTACCAGAGTGGCCACAGTATGCTGCTGTAAAGTTGGTACGTTCTTTTCTGCCTTCCACATTCACCTTTCCATTACTTTCTATGATTGTTGAAAGTAAGGGAAAAGCTATCTATCACAGATCATCAGTGCAAAGAAGTATTTGCGTACCCATGCAATGCTTTGGCCAAGTCTATTGCCTGCAGTGTTACCACAGCCAAATAGCTCATCAGTTTCTTTAACAGTATTCTTGAGAAATGTGAGAACCACGCACTAACGTGTTGCTTTTAGTAATCAGGAAGAGCTTAACTGTCTAAAGAGGAAAGAAAAATGCATCAATAAAGTTTTACATTTTTACACAAGTCTCTGTGTGTACTTAAGAGGAAAATTATGACATATTGGTGCTATTTTCTCACTATTACGCAAAGAAACTTCTTTCCAGCTGATTTTACCTTTAACAATTTTTTCAATTATTACTGCTCCAAGTACTACAATAAAAACAAATGAATGTGGGAAAGAAACATGAAGATGAAAAACAAGATGTAGATGATTTAAAATGGATTTTATTCATCTGGTTAAGTTGCCAAAGAAGTCAGTTAAGTCCGTTTATGGAATGAACATTTATAGTGTGCTGGCACAGATCCAAAAACAAGGGAAAGAAAACCAATGTTATGACAACTTCTATGAAATGACTACATGACTTATAACCTAAACCAAAAAAAGAAAGAAAAACTAAAGGAAAAAACAAAAGGATAACCTGAAACTAAACATCAATGCAAAATTAAAGCAAATAAATACACTTCTCAATGATAAGGGGATTTCTAGGGGTGAAATTGCACTGAATCAAGAAAAGAAAAAAAAAAAGAAAAAAGGCTGTTAACTACCAAATACTAGTTTTAACAAACACATAAATACCAATTCCATTTGCACTACTCCTCACACACAAATTTATCATTTATTTCCTAATCACTGTTTAACATTATTTTATATCAGTAATGGAATCTCATTCAAAAACACATTTCTTGCAGGCAGTGGTTTGAAAAGAGAGAGAGAGAGAGAGAGAGAGACAGCTGAACCGCAATAGCTGTTGACAGGACAACTAAAAAAAATAAAAAAAATAAAGATAGAGGGCTAATTCGCCACAGGTTTTTGTAGTGATATTGACCTCATAACAAGCAATTCCAAGGTCTTAGAAGTGTGGACACAAGCAAAAAAAGAAAAAAAGCAGTTCGGCATTTTACATTCCTCCAGTTGCACATGGAGCCTCTAGAGACTGTGGGGTAGATGAGGGCTGTTACAGTCCGGAATGATCCTTCATCAAGAAAACCTACTGTTTATATGCCAAGACACATAAACAGGGAAATAAAATAATAGGAAACAGACTCATAGTGACCTAAAGGATTTATTCATCCCAAGACAAACTGTTTCAAATTCTATTCATTCTCATTCACTCATTCGCAACTCAAACATACATCTCACTTATACTTTGCAGCAGGCTAGCTTATTCATAGCTTACAAAGGTCAACGTTTTACAAATCATTGTCAAAAAAAAAATCAAATTAATTAGCATTCAGTATATATTAAATTATCATTGATTATCATTCTCACAAAGAGCTGTATCCAAGATAAACACGATAAAGCCCTCCTTCATGTTTCCAGGTTTATTTTTCAAGATAAGCTCAAATAACATTTCAATTCATCACATGTTGAAAATGAAAAAAGCGAGCTACTAGGGAAAAAGTCACATGAATTTCATTTTTCTTTTAGTTCTCAAAGAGTGAATAATTTTGTCCAGCAAAAACATGGCAAATGGTATAAAAAAAAAACATCCAGATGTCTACAGCTGAGAGATTGAATGGAGTTCACAAACTATGTGGCACAAGCATTTCCTAGGTCTGGAAGTCCACTGACAATGACAGCAGTCACTACCAGTGCAGAAGGACCATTCACTATAATAGATTCAAACAGTGAAAACACCCCTGAATGGAATGAATGGTTAGTGTGTGCCCTACATTCATTGGGAGCAGTGTTATCTGCTATTAATTTTCAGCTGAAGTCTCCAATCAAAACTGAGACCTTAGACTTGTTTCAGCAGAGTGGAAAGAGTGAGCCCTAGAAGTAGAAAAGGCAAATGCAAGCAGAACTGAGATGGGTGGGAACTACTCGTGCCCTAAGTACTGTTTTGCAGGCAAAGGCAGTGTGGTTGTCCTCTCTTTTTCTTACCTTAGAGTCGCAAAAATGACTCGGGCATGGCAGGGTAAGGCAAGGCATGAGGGGTGGGGGGGGGAAGAGTTGTTGTCCTGAATCAGTTGCATTATTTTACAATCTAGGTAGACCACATAAAGCCAGAGTTAAACTATTCTAAGCACACTGGCTGAGTGAGTAGGTGCTTGGCCCATTCTCTTAGCATGTAGTGTTGACTGGATTATCCTTAGGCTCCACGTGGATAGCTGTCCAAAGTCAGTCAATCTGTTTTCTGTTATTCTAACTGAATAACAATCTCAACTGCCACACTGGCCAAAATCAAGGGAAATGAAAAGTCAAGTTGGGAATGGATTCCCTGAAAAGCACCTCTACCTTTATTGGATAAGTCTTTATTTAGGAGTGCCAAACTTTTTGGGAGTTCCTGGGCGCTTTTGCCAAAAATGGCCAGGGATGGTGAAAGCGTCAACACTCATGGACATGGTTTTGGACGGGATGACGGTGAACTGCTTGCGGTCTGAGCTGTACTTGTAAATGGACTCGACCATATCAAGCGTGATGACTCGCGGGCCAATGCCAGTTAGCCGTGCCATCTCATCGGTTTCAGGGTTCATGGTATAAACCGCTCTGAATTGGCAGCTGGAATCTCTGAAGAGGATAAGAAAGTGATTGGCTGTGCTTTTCTCCATTTCCTGAAAAGAGAGATATAGAGAAAAGAATAAGTATATGGACCTAATCAACTTGGGGAGGACATTAGGTTTGATGCATGCAGGTTGTGTGATGATAATACCAACTTATTTTTACATGCTACATCCTCCTTAGGGCATTCATAACAACAGCTGGTAGTCATATTACACAAAGGTTTTGCCGCCACACTTTTGCCGCCACCTCAAACATATTGTTTTGCATGTTTTACCTCCATCTTCAATTTGTTTTGTCTTTTCACAAAATGATCTGTGCATCACTGTATGTTGAATTGTTGACAAATAGGTCGTGGCAGCAGTGACATTGTGAGATGGTCATTTAAAATTTCTGGTTGGAAGTCTATTACAACAGCCATCTTTTAACATAGTATCACCATTTGGAAGCCACAAGTTAAAAAAATCACTATAGTTCTTTCATGTTGAGCAGCTTTTGTCTGGGACAACCCAAACGCAAACATGTATAAACCTGGCTTTAAGTGCGTTACATAACCTAATTAGGGTGTAGCTTTTTGTTGGACTCTGACACAGCGGGATGATTTACCTCTACAATCTTGTTTTTCTGTGGTTCATTGACCTTCCCAGCCAGGCAGCAACGAGTGATAGCATTATGGATGATGAATTTGTTGGACTTAAAGCTAGGCTCCTTGTACAGCTTTGGTCCTGCAAAACACAACATTTCCAAATGCTATAAAGCAAACAAAACAATGCTTGCAGCATTCATTTTTACAATTTTTTGTGTGGAAATTATGACTGACCTGTATATTCTGGGATAGAAGCAGGGGAGGAAATAGCAGAGCCAGTCTCCCAGTCCTTCTCTCCATTCTGAACACCAATTCGTCCTGGGGACCTTCCCCGTGATCGGGCAGGAGAGTGTGAACGACTAGAGAGATAACAGAGGAAGCATTTTTTACATTTTGAGGCTTTATTTTTCATTTGCACCTGATAACACAGACTAAACTGCATCTATAGTTGGTATCAATGATACAAGAACACCCACTTATTAAATATTTTAAACTTTAACCCTCTGGGGTCCAAGGTTAAATTGGCTGTTTTTCAGTACTTTTGATTTTACCTTAATATTTCAACTTTAAAAACTATTGACCTTACCTTATTTGATATCATTCTTTTCAGCACAACCTCACATGTCTAAATCTACAGTCATTTTTTTTTAAATTTTGACTTACTGTATTAACACAAATGATCTAAAAATCACAGAAAAATAATAAAATCAGAGTAGGTAAAAATTTTTACTGTGAAAGCAAAAAACATGTTTAACAAATCATTTTCATAACTTGAAATGCAAACAGAAATTGTACATTTAAAAAAAAATATGTACAAATTTTGCAAACAGCAAAGCTATATGCAACTATTTACCTAAAAATGCATGCAATACCTCAGGTGTCTTTTGTACAACCATTTAAAACTATTTCTAAAAATAAAATTACAGAACAATAAGGTGCCATACAAATTATTTGTGAAATTAAAAAAAAAAAACTACAAAAGAGAGGCGCATATCACAGGGATAATACCTGCAGACCTGTCAACATTCCTCCTGTTTTCCACCTGGAGACAGCACTTACATTTCAATCTACCTTTAATGGCTTTTGGCTAGCAAATGTGACATTCAACAGTGCACTCATTATTTTGACACACAAAACAATGACTACACACCAACTACACTCCAAACACGCTAAACGTCACAAATTTCTCAACTATCAAAACTCGCTATCAATATCACTCTCTCTCTCGCTCACTTGCTACCATCGCTCCTAAGACCTTCTCCTCTTCCTTAACAACCTAATGTCACGTGCTGCAATATGATTTTTCGATTGCGGTTTTCTTCTCGCAGTAAATGTGACGGTAGTATTCAGAAGAAAACAAACAAAACAAAACAAAACAAAAAACGCTTTTTTTTTTTTTTACTTGGCCTATCAACACAATTTAAAAACTGGTATATAGTTTGGAGTGGAGACTTTAAACACAGGCTAAATTTCAATGTTTCAGGCTAAATTCTGTGCTTCCCACTTTTTAACCATTTAAAAAAAGAAAATACATCAAGTCATTATCAATTTGCAGGTTACCTGGGTGACTTCCTGAC